ATATATAATAGACATATAGGCCTATGTAAATTCAAATGTTTAGGTTAAAGTCATACAGCAGTAATATTGATATAAAATTAAACCATGATTTAGGCTGAACTGATTAAAATTAAGAAAGATGAGGTTTCTGAGCTTTCGGTTAATTTATATTTTTAAGTGTCAAATACATAATGCAAGTCTAAGTATTCTGCTGAATCTTAAGATATTGATAAGGTACAGAAATGGGCTTCGCTTGTGCCTTTTAATTTTGAATGTAGGTGGTTTAAATTGATTTTTCTTTCTTGAGCAGGTATCCAGGAACTAAAATTTGGGATTTGGTAGGTGAGCAAATTATATACATAATTTTTTTTTACACTCCAGAATTTTGTTAGGCCAATTACTCGTTTTTCATTATTACTATTAATCATTATTACTGTACTACTACTACATAGGTCTACTCCTATTGTTACTATCATATAACTATTATAGTAATTATTATTATGACCATTACTATATTATTATAATATTATTATTATCATTATTATGCCTATTACTAATTTACGTACTATACACCACTGGCTTGGAATACTTCGATACGTCTCACGGATCAATAAATATTATTATTATTATTATTATTATTATTATTATTATTATTATTATTATTATTATTATTAGGGCCTATCATTATCATTATTAGGCCTATTATTACTAATGTACGTATGCACGACTGACATGGAATACTTCGACACCTGTCATGGATCAATAACCGTTGAAGCCTGTATCGATAATAATTGATACAAATGTAACGTTAAATCAAAATTAAATTTAAACCAATTATTGTAGGTAACATCAATGTGTCTAATTGGATCATTAATAGCATTGCAAGTCATGCAGAATTGCACAACTGATTGTTGTTACGGATTACTTTAACTAAAACGCGTGATTCACTTGATCAAGGTAAAGTATGTTCACTCCCAGCCAAAAAGAAAAAAAAATCTTCAATAATCTTCAGTCAACTTCATTATAAGTATTCCAACTTCGCTCCCTATTGTAAGCTAAAGACGACGCGACGCCCCGTCTGCTGCTTGGTGTTGACATTCTGAACGGATCGTCATTAAAACGATCTGTTGCGCACTTTCCGTCTGGGCGTTGTGTTCAGGGGCGGGTCCAGAATTCTTCAATGGGGGGGGGGGGGAGAAAACATATTCAGAATAAATAAGTGAGAGCTCTAATTTCAATATATGCCTTGAAATTTTAAAATTTAGTGGCAAAACGTGGGACACCTGACTCCCCCGTGCCCCCTACTGGGTGATCGGCTTAACCCTGATCACTGTGCGCCATTTACATTACAATAACATTAAACTGAAACCAGATTAGAAATTGGATTCTCAAGAACATGAAAGATGTGAACAGTGTCGACTAAGAGTAACCATATTTGTGATGACCAAACATTAGATTAAGGGGTCGTTCAACAGTTCAACATTTGCACATACAAACAGAGGGAGGGGGTAGACACATTTGTTCACTTTAATATATGCATAAAAATCATGATTCATAATAACACGCAATATGTAAAATAATGGTAAAATTATAATGCAACCATGGATATAATATTAATTTTTAAGCAACAAAGTACATTGCTTAATGTTGACTTCACAAAAAAAGAAAAAGGAAAATGGTGCAAAATCAACATGTATTTGTACACGTGTGAAAATGTTGATAATTGAGAACGACCCCAACACATTCAGTTATATGAAGAAACGCAACACTTCATTGTGAATATGAACATTCCCCTTGATTGATGACATAATTCAATAAATTATTATTAATAAAGTTTTGGTCCTCATTTTGTAAATGAGGACGCACGGGCGATGGTCGCCATGGATGGTGCCTGTAAGGGACGATTTCTAGATTTTTATCAATATAGTTTGTACGATAGGTAGTGGAATGTCATAAGTAGTTCCAACATAGAAATGAGTCAGCACAATTTCTTTCTCAAGAGCATTGAGAATAGAGCACTTTTAGTGACTAACACAAAATAAACCTACATGGTACAACACATTATATGACAATAAGAATGTTCTGTATAAATTTAATCTTAGTAGGCTTACTTATAAAAACATCAGCATCACTTGTAAACACATTATTATAGTTTCGAGGAGGAAAAATTATAAAAGGAGGCATTATACTATTAATGTATTATCGATACCGATATGTAGATGGGCCTATTAATAGTTGTCGAATCAGAGATCACTGAAATTGGAGCAATGTTCACTTGTGCGGTAAACTTTCGGTGAGGTATGTAATTGTTAGTGTTTTTTGGTTGCATAACTGTGATCACCTGGACATATTTAAACAGAGGCATGCTGTGTATTTTGTACTCGCATCGAAAGACCCAAAGAGAGAAGTCCGACCATTATACGCTTATGTTTGAAATTTCACAAGACACAAAACAACCATTCAGAATCATGGCAAGGCCTAGACTGTCTCAGAATTTTTGGTTAGGAGTTTTTGCTCTTTTAACGCTGTATGCTTCACGCGGAGCCGCTACCTACTACTTCTCAAGTAAGTGTTACAAAATTGATTTTAACCCCGGTAGGTCAATCGAACAATAATCGAATTCGATCAATCAACGATTGTCTCATACCACTGTACTTGAACTTCACTTTCACTAATCAATTTTTTTGTAAGTAACAATGATAGTTAATGTTCCTATATCTGATCTGGGAATAATTTATAACTTTCTCTTTTGAATTATTTTCAGGTATGCCTAATTACTTTAAGTCACTCATTACGGTAAGGATATAAGCAGTTGACAAAGTATTTATCAATAGAAATGTGAAGAAGAAGCTATTTGGGTAGACTTACGATGACATGCCTCATAGCAATACCATGCAGTCCTTTCCTCCCCGGCACCCCAGCCCCTACATTATATTCCGGATTCCTTCCTGTAGTGGATTTTATTAGTAGGCCTGCACTGGTTGGGAGACAACGCCAAACAGTGGCTACCTGGCTACCACCAGTTAGCAGTGGCTTATCTAGGATTCTTGAAATGTTCAAATGGGGACTGATGGGGGATGGAAGGTGAAGTCGGGGCTCGATGATTAAGTGAGGGGCACAGGTCGCAAAATAACTACTAATAATTTATAACTACTTCAACGTGCTTTTTTTGCTTTTAACATTTTCAATGAGGGAACCTTGGGGATCCGAGCACCCCTACATATATTAGAAGGCCTACACCGTTGCAGCTTAGGAGACTGAGCCAAGATGTTCTCAGACTGTAGGACCAGGGAGGTTGTAGGCCTATAAACTACCAGATTAATGTAAAGCCGGGGACTCCTCTGCGCCCCATGGTCGTCGTCCGACGCGATTCTATGAAAAACGCAAAGACTCGCGCAGACTCCACCCGCAATCAGCAGACGACGTCGCTTAGTCTTGCGCTATCAGGGAGGGAAGTTGGATTCATCTTGCGGCTGTCGTAGGCCTACGACTGTCTAAGTCTATTTGTTTAACTCATTGACGATTTCCACGAAGTGTAGTCGTTTTCTCATCCACAGAACAGAGGAACGCCTGCGTTATATGCCAGTTGCGAAGTACGCCCAAACATAGCACTGGAACCAAAGTTAGCACAGAAGAACAGCGTCACCGGTCAAGTTGTATTTCGCCAACAGGTAACAATGGCCCGCCTTATTTAATAATACATGTATATTCTGATTGGTCAAATTGATGGGGTGTGAATATCATCATCATTATCATTATCATCATCATATCGAGGTCACCGTCGTTATGATTGGCATCATAATGATTCTAATTATTATTATAATTATTATTTGGTATTTATATTATCATTTTCGAATCGGCACAAATTTACTTTTGCTTTGTTTTGCTTTTTGTTTTGTTTCTTGCTTTGCTTCATAACGATTTCTCTCATAATATTTGATAATTAAGTAGACTATTGTCAATATTTGGCATATAATTATTAAACCTATTACTTAACATTATTAAGCATGTTAGGATTATTGTCCTTATATGCATTAATATTTTTTGTGAATTACCATTTTCAACATCGACATGCACGGTGTAGCCATGCAGGTCTCATCTCATTTAGCTATAATGATGCCATCTATTCTCAATTGTCAGTTGGGCAAATACGTCGAAATGCAGGTGAATCTGAAGGGGTTTGACACCAAAGGATCACTGCTCCATGGATACCATGTTCACGAGTTTGGCGATCTAAGCAATGGCTGCGAGTCAACTGGAGCACATTACAACCCATTTAATCAGGCCCACGGAGCACCGGACGATACCATCAGGTAGGGATTGGGGAGGGGAGGGGATAAGTGTGTTATTTGAAATGGTTGAAAGTGTGCGGGTAAAGCAAACAAATCCGTTAAAACATTGTTAGGCCTACCAACTCGAATACTGTGATCAGTAAATTATGTGGAATTATTGTATTGTATAACATGCTAGTGGATTTCTGCCCACAAATTAATAACACATTAAAGTTTAGTTGATGACGTCATGGTTCAATCAGAAGTGTCCATCGTTACGTTGATACTATTCAGTGGCGGATCCGGACATTTTTGCCCGAAATGGCGCGAGTGCCAATCGATGACCTATTCTGAAGGGGACCTATAATCGGAGAGGAAGGGGTTACAAGGGTGTTCCTTTACCTGTGGGGTTCAGAAGGCTTTAAAATTCAACCATTTTAATCTCTTATGCTTTCACACTTGGTTAGTTATTTTTATTTGGCGGCTGTCGATGCTCGAGCACCCATTTGCCACCCCTCCGGATTTACCAGTGTTATCGTTTTTCTCTATCTCTAGGCACGTTGGCGATTTCGGTAATCTGAAGCGAGACGAATCTGGGGCAGTACATACAGAGATAGCAGATGGAGTGTCATCCCTGTTTGGATACAACACTGTTATTGGAAGAGCCATCGTAGTACGTACACTTCCTTTCAATTCCTTCATTTCAGTTGTTTCCAGGGTGGCATAAAATGCTGTAAAACACATACAAATCATAATAAAATGCTGCACATTAGGCAAAACAACTTGGTGCATTTAAGTTTTCATTATCAATAGGCCTTATTGAATGTTGTCTCAATAACATTATAAAAATAATTTAAATCTAAATGATCAGTACTGGTATTGAGTGATTATTTCCATTAGTTAGTGAGCTCTTCAAAGCGTCGTCTAATTGCCACTTTCAGGGCTGTGGGAACCGCAACGGTTGCACTGCCTTTGGCCGGACCACTTTTTCTCATAATTCTATCACATTTTCAAATAAATACGTACAAATTTATATAAATGTATTAAAATGTTCGCAATGTCTTTTTAATGTTATATTAAGCACCATTATTAAACCACCATGCGCTTGTTTTTGTATTGCCTTCAAACTTTGTTTCAACTTATCTGCCTCTGCATGGGGTTGTTGACAATCCATAATTTATAAAATTAATTTAATTTATAGTAATTTATTTATAACTATTTATACAACTTTGGGAGTTGGATAACAGTTTGGCCGACTCCATCACCGCACTAAGCCGGCGATTATACTTGCCCTGAAGTCAAGGATTTGTTAAAAGTATTCATGTGCTATTTCACGTTTCAACTATGGTGGAGCGGATGTAGGTGTTGTACCTAGTCCTCTTCCACTAACTTTAAATCCCCTGCCTGGGGTTGGAATAGGGGTAGCTGCTATTAGATGCCATATTTTCAAAAATTGTTCACATCAGGCCAGCCCGCCCACCATGGTGGGGCTGAGGTAGTTATGAAGTCAATATCCCAACTAACTTTAAATATTTTGTCTCTCCCTTGAGGAGGAGGGGTAGCGGCTATTGTCGGGCATCAGAGGTGCCATTATTTTAAAAATTGGCTCACTTCTCTAGTCCCCACTAAATTTAGTGTCTGGACAGGATGGGGTGGGGAAGTGTAGAGGTTCTACTTTTGCCAGCTGCTATTTACGAGCTTCCAACTGAGCAATACCTTGATGGAAGGGGTAGCAGCTCTACAGGTTGCTAGCTGCTGTTTTCGGGTATCCAGAAGTGTAAAAGTTCACCAACCATGGTGGGGCTGGGGTGGATTTGCACTCGCACCCGACTAACTTTAAATCATGTGTGTGAATGGGTGGTCTGCAAGTTTGACAGCCAAATTTGTGTGGCTTCCCCCTCTTAGGCCGGACGATTGCAAAATCCTTCCGACGGATGCATTAGGCCTTACGGTGCTTTTCAATGTCGGAATAATAATTATACTTGTGTATCAAATTTCTGTGAATTTCCATTCACATTTCAACATAGGCCTAAATATGGCACAATAGGTTTCAATTATTTATTGATTAAATACGGAATACAAGCAGCGTATGCTATTATGCATAATCTGCTCGCTTGTCCTTGGTTATAGAATACTTAATAAGTGTCCCAATATGGTGTTTTAAAAAAAGAGAGCACAAAATTATAGAGATGGCAAACAATCCAAAGTAGATCCTTAAAAAGAAATTAATCAAGAAGTGTGGTATGTATCCTGGCATTGAATAAAAAATATGCCAGAGCACTCTCGTAAATCCTTATAAGAATCCCAATCAGAAAGTTTTGCAATAATAAGAATTTGTCATTGGTTCGAGCATGGAGTTCGAGTGTATCACAAAACAAATTAGTATAGATTATTAATAAGAAAAGAAATTAAAATTATGACGACATTGGGTCGACTTTGCAGTGACATACATTTTAAGAAAATGATAAAATATTGGTTATGACATTAGATTCAGTAACATTCAATATTTTAATATGAAATCAATCGGGAAATTTTCAAAGAATTATTGTGACATTTGAATTTATAATTAATTAAATTTTTTTTAATTGTGCAGATTCATGCTAATGAAGACGACCTCGGAGACGGCGGAAACCCGGAAAGTCTCGCTACCGGAAACGCTGGAGCGAGGCTTGCCTGTTGTGTTATTGGCGTTGCATCTGAAAAAGTCTGGAAACATTAAATAAATCAAATATGGTCCTGTATCCACCTTCACATGCTAACAAGCCTATTCAAATGCAATGTAAAAAACATTAAGCTTCGTTATAATAGATAAAGTATAACGTTGTGGTTCATATTGATTAAAATTACAATATCAAGAAATAAATGATTCTTATTTGGTCAATGATTTATTGATGAACAAAACAATTAATAAAAGAGGTCTCGCTATTTGTGCTTTGCTCATAATTATCATATTTATAGCAGTATTGTTGCTTAAGTCATGGCGTAAATTTCTATAAACTTTCCGATGATGTTTTATAGTATATCCCAACCCATAGATCTCCAGTATGAAATAATGGCAGAAATATAAACTACAAACACAGGCTACACTGTCAAAATAACTGCTTATATTTTTATATTTTTTGTTGTTGTTATTGCTATTATTTTATTATTTTTGTCTTCGTCATCATCATTATTATATCAACAGATTTGCAACTGGAATCTAGTTAAATAGAAGAAATATTTAAATAAAATATAAATTCTGTAAACCAATTATATTTAAAAAAAAAACCCGAACTGGTCAGACTGTAAAGGCAAACTTTATTATTTTTGAATAAAGTATCATGTCTACCGATCCCGCATCGAAATATGAAAATTTTTTTTAAAGAAACAATACACATTAGAAATTTACTAGAAAGCCTGATCGTACCAGATTGAACCGAATGGTAGGCCCTACCACTAAATAGCCCATTACAGGTCTAGGTTGATGTAAGCGTATGCAGGCGGCATCGAAATTCAGTCGTATGAGAATTTAAGCAATCTGAAACTAATATTATTACATAAAAATCACATTATTCCCGAATTCTTTATATACACATCTCTTCACTTATTTCGGGGTCAAAAAAAGTAGACGTTCTACAAAAGCCAGTCTGGATAGGCTTACGGATGTATATAAGTAGAACGTAAATAGTTAGGCTTTGAAGAACAATTAGTTGGATTGATCAACTTTAATCATAATTGTGTCCGTGAATCTACGCGCTGTCGATCTGCGATTAACCCTTGTCAGTGATTACCTGGATGTTCCTACCTGTATATTAGAAAACTGGCAAGTTGCAGATAACGCGCCAGTCGCATCTTTTTACTCGGAACGACCAACGTCACCAACAGTTATTCGTTTAGGACCGTTTGCCATTCCACAATACACAGCCTTTGGAACACAGTAATGGCAAAATTGTTTTGGTTAGGAGCGATGTTAACGCTGTACGTTTCTCACGGAACTGCTACCTGCTCCCGTAAGTGTAGTCAAATAACATCTCGCATCATTGTGGTTATATGTGTATTGTATATGTGTATATATAAGATGTATATGTAATATAGACAACTGTATTTTGGATATTCATATTTTCCTGTTTATGCCAGGCCATATAATAGCAACTTGATATGAATATAATTATTTCTTATGATTTACCAGCTGCTACCTATAAGCTATTTACGAAGCTTAGAAATTGGCTCCACTACTGTATGTGTGAGCCCTCGAGTTGTATGGAGAGGGACTAGTGGTTCGTAATAATATCGCACAGCCCTCTGTGGTCTAAGTGGCATGACACTCGCCGAGATAGCAAGAGATTGCGGGTACGATTCCCACCAGAGACCTTTTTTAAAGCAAATATATATATAAATAACTAGAAATAGAGTATATCATATACGTTTATTGTATTGGTCATTGACGAACATTGAACGTTTGCTAGGCTTGCATTACAAATGTTAGGCCTTGCTCTTTAACACTTAGGCATATGTGGACAACACCGATACATACGTCTGTTTTGTGATGCTAATTATTACCGTAATTAATAATTATATGTTGTGTCATATATTGAATCTTGATATTTGAGTGCTGGTGCCATTAATGTTAGTAACCTAAACTACATATAAAATAATAATAATAATAGTAATTGGTCTGTATTATGACAGGCACAATTTTTCTTTCGAAACCTTAAATTACAGAAGTGTAGACGCAGTAGGCCTATACGTAGACTACATTTTAATTGTAATAATGGTCGTAGGCAATAAAAACAGGTGATCGGAGGGCTACCAGAATCAGTTTTGAGTTATGCCTAGTCCTATATATTAATTTTATGTTCGTAATTTTTATGTTCGTAATTTTTACAAAAAGTTCAAAATTTAGACGCAAAACTGGAAAAAAAAAAATGCAGAAAATTGGGTAATATTAAAATTTGCGCTCAATCTCCAACACAATTTAGCACCAAGTTAGTTACATGCAACTGGTTGCTTCAGATAAGTATGAATACTGGGACAATGTTATCCCAACTGTATTAATATTATTATTATTATTATTATTATTATTATTATTATTATTATTATTATTATTATTATTATATATATATATGTATATATATATATTTATATATAAGATGTGTATAAGAGACTCAATTAAATCATTATAAATACCTTGTTAGATTTCCATTCGCCAAAACCTTTTACGTATTTTTTTTTTAAAACCATGCCTAATGTAGTCCTAACTGGGGTTCGTGGGACTAAACAGTAGTTAAATACTTTTTTATTCTTTATTTTCAGGTACTTATTATAATTCACTTTTTAAGGTAAGTCGACAAAATCGAAGGATAGCCTTAACATATAAGCTAGTAAGTGGCGATTGTTATCAGAATTAGTAAATGCTCAGAAAATAATATTAGACTGTAGACTAAAAAATAAATGTAGGAAACATACAACAAAACACAAGCATAAATAGGCCAAGACCTATAAAGATAACACCCTATTGTGTCTAGACATACTGTATCCTATATATCATTATTACCATAACAGCAACGATGGCGGTAGGCTTCTGTTGTTATTGGTGGCGCCAGCTGGGGTGGGGGAGGGGACATGTGAGGGCATTTAATCATCCCCCAGCCGAACAGGCCTGCACGCCCCTGTTGTCCGACGCCACGGCGAGGTCGTCGGATCAAAAATAAATATATATATATATATAATTTGCCTATTCAAATAACTTATTATGATTACCCATCCCTATAGAATATTGTGGTCTAAAAGTACAATTTGGACCGTACTAAGCCATAAGAAATTCTCCCTGTGAACCCTACAAGTGATTTTTTTTTATTCCTTGACTAGGACCGAGGCTATAGTCGGCCCTTGGTTCGGACACCCCTCCCAGTCGGACATGTCGGACCCCTTGTCGGCAGATTTCTGGAGCCACCGCTATTGTCATATTGCAAATAATTATTGTTTTCTTGTAGCCTATTGTATAAATAAGTTAAAATAAAAAAATAAAAAAAAAAAGCAAGATCGGCTTTTCATATTTCACACTCTGCAGTATTCACTTGTATAGTAATTTCAAAACTAGCAACACGCCCCTTTTATACATGACAATTATTCTTGCCAAAGGTCTGGCGAAGTCCCTCTCCGCCTTGAGACTACTGTCTGCAATGTTCTTCGCCTTGTCGTTTGTAGTGTGGGGGTGGTGGTTTTTGCTCATATTTGAACCAGGAAGGCTATGACCTTATGATGGTGGAGTTCGGTAATTCTAATTGATTTAAACATAGCATAATGCAAATTGGAAATATAGAGACAGCGTCCATTAATGTTGGGTAACTCTATGGTTATTCTAATTATTCACTTACGTTATTAATACCTGATGAGAAAGTTCATAATGTTTCTACATAATAATTATATGGTAATTACGAATTCATAGGAAAATGAAAAAAAAAGAGGCAGATAGACTATGCTTTTACTGCGGAGCGTCAGTTATTCTAGCTTTTACCATGAACTGAATAGGCCTATTCAGCTCATTAATAAATTCTAGTCGTGTTCACTTCCACAGCCCCAACAAATACCTGTTTCATATGCCTATTGTGAAGTACGACCAAACAAAGTGCTGGATCCAGAACTAGCAAAGACAAACAGCGTAACCGGCCAAGTGGTATTAAGACACCAGGTACTCTGCATCCTGAAAAATCATCATTATCATCGTCATCAACATCAACATTATGATCACCACAGTCACTTGGCGTATGTAGCAGTATTAAAATCATCATGTTCCCATATCATAATCCTTTCTTGCACATCAAATATTCATCATAAATAAAATAAGTTTGTATATTCGTATCACACGTGCATTTTTTTACGGAAAATAGACATTCTTTCAAGAAATTTGATCTGAAAAAACTGTCTATAATATTATTTTTTCTAAAAATTTTAGTTAGGCAGAAACATTGAAATCAAAGTGGATCTAACGGGTTTCGACACTGAAGGATCCCTGCTACACGGCTTCCATATCCACGAGCTTGGCGATCTAAGCAACGGTTGCGATTCAACTGGTTCACATTTCAACCCGTTTGGGCAAGACCATGGAGCTCCGGATGACATCGTCAGGTAGGCATGAGTTAATTCGTGTAGAAAAGTGGTTCCTAACCTTTTACATTCAGGACCCATCGGGAAATGTCAAAAGTCTTCACGGACCCCCATGTCTAATACCCATAGGCCTATTCCAACAGTAAGATTATAGATAGAAGATGATTCGATACAAAAGTACAACATTAAACAGTGGCGGATCAGAGGTGGGGTTTAGAAATAAAATATTGGAATTGAAATATAATGGCAGTTTAAACAACTTACAGTGTGAACGAAATCAATGCCTATAGGCCTATGTCAAGGGTATGTTTACCACACTATTGTAAACACAATTTAAAAAAAAAAAAAAAAAAAAAAAAAAAAAAAACTAAAAACAAAAACCGATGTAATGATGAAAAATTGGTCTAAAATTCTAGCGGACGCCAAATTGTTCGCGGACCCCCTGCGGACCCTTTTGACCTGGCGTTCTACTGTACAATAAAGCCGGGCACACTGCGTCGGCCTCAAAGTCCACGGAGGCGGTGCGCGACGGATGGTTTTCAACAATCCGCTCACTTAGACTGCTGCCATTGACAATCTTTGGACTGCGTCCCGTCGTCAATTGGCTCACACAGGGCGGATTA